ATGAGGAAATCGCAGATATGAGACCCAGAAGGCGGTCAAGGCTGAAAATCACCACACGCAGGGCAAAGGAAAGGTGAAGAGTTGCAATTAAGAACAGATCCCGGTAATATGGCTCGAAGAGGGTAGCTGTGTTGAAAATCGGGCTCGCAGACACCCTTTCTCCAGGCGCCTACATGCTCGAACTGAATATGGTGGCAAAACGTGGTGTCGAGCTTGCGCAGCTTCGACAAATGCTAGAGAGCTCGCATCGACTGCCAGCGTTTCCATCGTAGCAGATCCGTCGCGCAGGATGAGAGATTGGTTGATGTCGACAAAAAAACCGGTAGGTCAGACGCGTTCAACAAAGGCATTGTCCATTTCTACCCGGCAACCAGTGTAACAGATCATAGATGCTCGCATATGAGCTTGAAGACGGATATTCGATGCCGATAAAAAATCAGACATAAAGCGACGTTTGAATAGCCACACCATCTTGTTCTTGAGATGGCAGTTATGTAGTGCATTTTCAAGCCAAGTTGACCAGCACAAGGTCCCAATTAGGGACGGCCGGAACGAAGGCGAAGTCCTATTGAAACTCCGACATCACCCCTGCCGCCCTCTGCCGATTGTGAAATTTACCCGTAACCGATCGGAAGTTGTAACTGTCGCAATGAAATCTCCAGAATAATGCCATTTTATTACGGTCATGACACAAAAACGACAGCCAACTTTCCACCAGCCTTCGGGGACGAATAATCACTTAAATCACTCAAACAAATAGCTGGTCACAAAATGGATTACAGAAAAGCAGCGGAACGCGTAACAATGGTACAATCGATTGAATCTCCTGTCCACCATCACGCTCATCTTCACATCAAGCAAGTCCTAGGTACAGCAAACATTCAGCCAATTCCCAGCCCGACAAGGCAACAACAACTAACCTGAAATTCACGACCGACCGCGCCAGATGCGCTCAGTTATAGCGACATGTCTACTCGCTATACACGCCCGCCAACAGTCAGCCATGATCACAGACGACACATCAAGAAATACTCACAGGAGCGACAAGGTGATATCGCCGTTGACCTTGGCCTGGATGGCGATCTCCACCTCAAGGTTGAGGTCAAGGCGCAGCTTCACAGATGCGGGGGGTGCAACGGCCTGCCTGTTAGAGCGGCCAGCAACCTGCTGTCCACCGGCAGCGAAAGAGGGAGAAGAGAACTTGGTAGCGGTTTCTGGGGCAGACATTGTTGTCGAACTGAAGGTTTTCCATTAACTGGCCTAGCTTTTATACTGGACCTCCGGGACGGTGTTCGCCCGCATCCCCGTCGCATCTTTACCCATTCTGGACTCCCAGTCGCGACATGTTGGCAGTACGTAAATCTCGCGCGATCCTGTGATACTTCATCCCGGTCTAATTCCGTAAACGCAAGGGACGTGGACGCGCCCGTAAATCAAATTGGACAAAATCGAGACCAGAAGCACTCTACGGAGAACCAATATATCTGCCGTAAACGCGGACGACGGGTGTGGCTGGAGACCCGACGCTCGCTCCTGCCTGTCTTCCATTTCTACGTTGCTGCGTACATATTGTCGCGAAATGAGAACGTCTCACCGAATGTTCATCGCAAAACTCGGCTCCCGCGGAAATATTGGGCGAAGGTGACAACGGAAGAAACCAATACCGAGTTCTCCGAACGCCGTGCGATGTCAGGCCGCTTTGATGTCTGTATCGGTACCTCGAAGTGGAGCTTGACATTCTCTACTTGAAGATGGTCTAATGACCTCCATTCAAACTAGACACCGGCCCCGGGAATAATTGAACAGCTCGTCTCTGTCTCTCCTATAAGTAATTCCTCCGTTATTAACACTGCTAATTGAAACACGCAGGAGCTTTTAAATTAAATATCATCGTTTAAGCACGTGGGACGCGAGAACACTTAATGCACGCTAAGCCAACAAAGACTCTTTCTTTCGAACTTCAATAATTGCTGACGGCGAGCCAGAAACTCAGTTCTCTAACTACTTACGAGACGCTGTGGCCTAGGCGCATCCGAACCCTGGACACGACGACTTCATTGGATGGAACGGGACCGGTGACGCACGGGAGTTGCGTTTCTAGTCTGCGCCCCGGTTGTTCCCTTGGGCCTCAAGTCTTTCCCTGCAACGTAACGGATCAATCGGCCCTACGAAATAGTCTCCTGATTTTCTTCCCCAAGGAGGCGCTGAAGCTCTAACTTGACCTCAATCCCAAATGTTAAGGGAACATTACACTCTTTCGCTCTTGTAAGCTATCGAGGGGTTAATTTTAGTTCAGTCTCTCCGCTTCTTCGAGGCTGATGGCTTTCTTTGCAGTTCGTAGATCTCGTAACTCAGGCAGGGTGTATTGATATCATTCGTTCGTGTCTCTCAATGAACGACGTATCTTTCTTTGCATTAATTTCTCGCATTACAATTCTGAGCAGCGGTCCTTCCTTCTCTTTCATTCACCAGCCCAGTGGCTTGCAAGAGCCCTCATCATCTTCACCGTCTCAATTTCCAAAGGCCGGAATTTTGGGCTATAAATTGTTACATATCATCCACGGAAAAGTAGTCGATCAAAAAAGGTATTGGAAAAGTGCTGCTAATATACAAGTGACAACGGTATACGTGAAGCATCCTCCCGGACATGCGTACGATCCACCCTTCATCAAATCAACTGGAATCCATCCAAAAACTGAAAACAAAGCGCTAGCAGCGAAAATGTCAGCACAAAAACCGGCACCAATTAGAGAGTTCCAAACCTGACAATCCAAAGAACCTAATTTGCTTTCGCTCATACCAAGTGCGTTTACTCACTGCAATCATAATTCAGCGGCAAAGCCCACTGCAGAACAACGAATGATCCACTTACAGGAGCGAGAGGGTGATATCACCGTTGACCTTGGCCTGGATGGCAATTTCGACCTCCAAGTTAAGGTCCAACCTGAGCTTCAACGCCGCCTTGGGGGCGACAGCTCCAGCGCCGACACGGGCGGTCAGTTGGCCGTCCCTAGCTTCGGTCTCAGCAACAGCCCCGAGAACAGACATACGAGTTTGAGCAGCAGACATTATAATCGTTATTGGGAGAATGAAGAAGGTGTGGTAGCCCTTTTATACGAGGATTGAGGGAAGGAGCAACGTTACGCCATGGTATGGAGGGAAACGGTTGCGGGATTCCATTGGCATTTCGGAAATGCGTCGAATGAATGTGTCTGTGCCCGAAACGTAAGATCTGCTGGTGCTTTGAGACCGGTGGGGTACTTGCATGGAAGTTTGACAGAGCGTGAGTCCAGCCGATGCGTCGCAGCCTCAGGTTACACTGAATGAATATGAACATGTATAGCCAACCCCTTCCAAGCCTGTTTGAGATCAAGCGAATAAGCCAACGTGTTGATATCACTCTGGGGACCTTCCCTGAAGGTTTACAGCGAGGCCTCGGGAGAATTTCAATGACGCGATCGACGCATTGTGCTCTATTGTATTGCCTTCAGTTACACGCAGGTCATGGGAGGCCTGATTGTGGGTTTTATCGAACACGCCCAGTCAGCGTTCCCATGGGTATGGACTAGAACGCGAGTGTAATGTAACGAGAACATGAAATCGAGTCCAGGTTGGTCGCGTAAGCATCGTAATTGAGTCGATGGCAACTGGTTCCGCGGACCGGAACTATGGACTTATAAGCGCCCATAGGACATCAAGCGTTTCTGGTTGTTTCCAAGACGAGAATATTCATGAATAGTAGAGTATGCGTAGAAATCGAAGAAGGCAGTAGCAACAATGTCTGGTATGGAGCTTCTAGCCCTTCTGTGATGCTTAAAGTCATAGAGAACGAATCCAGATAACAGAGAGCAGTAAAGCTCGTACTGCGCCAGCGCTACGTGTTCGGAATTCTCAATAGAGAAAGACTGGGCTGCAAAGACTCACTTCTCACTGCAGGAATAGTATGGCGTTACAAGAATCTACCCGTTTAGCGCGGCTAACTGGCCCACTCAGTGTTTCGTCACTGCAATACCAGTCGTGGCCAAAGAATCATCTTGATCAGATGGAAGAAACGACGACGTTCAACTAGGATCAAATTTCGGAAACGGGTCTCTGAGTCCAGGATAAGTATGTACCGGATTATGACCTCGCTATTGTTGGCGATAGGCTGGCGAGAAAAGAACGCGAGATCAGATTGGATGATGGCTGGTCGCCGTTTCTCGAATGAGGTGGCAGCAGTAGGTTGCAGGCGATTTATCGAACATTAGAGTGCCAGCATGTCAGGACGCGCGCAGATGGTGGTGGGACATCGGAAACCTACGTTTAACTTTTCGGAAATCTCCGAAGCCTCTCTTCCTTGGACCACGGACACGACGAACGACGCGTACTAGCATAGTGAAGGTATATTGGGTTTCTTCTACCAGGCTTCCATGGCGATATACGTCGTAATATTGTACGTCTTCTTCGACTCGTACTACCTATGCGTTCTAACAGGATCTTACAGATGGCTATCTGATCTCTGTAGAGAACGAAGTACGAGCATTATTTAACACTTGGACGTGAACTGGCGAGCCTCGCCTCCCTGCTTGTGTCCGGTTCGTCTGTACCAAGACATTGGGTTGTTTGCTCCAAAGGGTCGAATGTCGAGGGAACTTGTCGACGCGTCGATGATCTCTCCCATTGACATCAATTTCGTCGCGAGTATCCGATACCTTTCATCTTCCCCAGTAGTTGACTTGAATCTTTCAAGAGACATAGGCCCGACGTCGTCCGTCAACGTTTGACCCGATGTCGCCCATCATCCTGCCCTCGTGTTGCAATGACTCCAGCGTCTACTTCTTCCTCTATTCCTGCTTTTTCCCGTGCTTCAATTCTGGTTTCATTTAAGCTTCATTGGCCTGGTCTCTCAGAACGTAACAGGCTATTGGTATCCAGTCATTACCTTTGGATCAGTCTTTACTCTGTGAAATGATGATTGTGTATCTGTCCTGATAGCGTCCCATTGCGATCACTAATTTATAGCCCGCCTAGCTCAATCGGATAGAGCGTCAGACTCTTAAGCAATAGGCGGGTATCTGAAGGCTGGGGGTTCGACCCCCCCGGTGGGCTACTTAGATTTTATCTTTTGTTAGCTTCGAACGCTCACGAGTCACAATTGTACAATGTAGGGCCTAGGCCCTAGGATGGTAGGCTGAGGAGTGACTTACTCGCTTTTAGGTCTTGCTATCTGTTACGCAGAACTAATTTTCTTTCTTCAATGCAGCTTTTGCCAAGGGTCTGGCATTGCAGGCACACCCTGTTGCTTATAACACCAGAATATCTGAAGACAGCATTGCGTGCTGTGCCATTAGATAACAACAGAAACTAAGATGGATATCAGAACCGGTGCTACTTCCTAATGCACAAATCAATCGCGCAATATTGGTATTTTCCATCTACAAGTTTCCTGTATACCATCCGTTCTGACTTCTATAATCAAGGTTGACTGTCAACCTCCTCATCGTTCCAGTATCCAACGTGCAAACAAAAGTCTAACCTCATACGAAGCATACAACGCCCCGATTGTGATCACGCTCATAAAAATTATTCGCTGATAAACCAATAAGCCTCGAGTCAAAGCGAACACTAAACGCGAAGTTTCAAGAGTTCAAATACTCATAGCAGTGAGAGCGTGATGTCACCATTGACCTTGGCCTTGATAGTTAGGTCAACCTCGAGGTTCAGGTCTAACCTAAGCTTTAGCGCTTCCGCTCCACCCACTTCGCTGATCATATCCTGATCTTGGAAGGGAAAATTAGGTGCGCCAAGGATAGAGGCGTAGAGAGCTGGTTCAGACATTTTAACGTTGTCGAAGATGGCTCCCTCTTATATAGCGACGACTCTCACTGGTAAGTAACCCGGCTGCCTTGTCGTGCCCACTTAGACTAATTCTGTTTGTATGGGTTCAAGTCCTCCAGAGATGTGAATATCGTGACAGACGGGCGTAATTGCATTTATGCTACGGTCCTCGGGATGGAAGAGACGAGTGGCGGTGGAGGCCCTGCAGGCGCGCGAGCCACCGTGACTTAGTGTCTAAGGGCGGTCAATATCGATCAGCAGGATCGCTGTTTCTATGGGTCCTTGTAGGGCCATCCTTCGACGCCAACTGCACATTCCCAAGTCTGTGGTATATGCTCCTCTTCTGGTTTCAAGTTCGGTTCAAACCCTGATTCAGAATATCAATACCTGCCTCCATTACGGTGCATGCTTCGCATTTGGCTTCTTTCATTTTAGTGTACGGTTGACCGGCTATTTCCCTCAGGTCTTGCAACGATTAACACAGCGTAGAGGGGATGCATGCACAAGGTGTGCGAAGCTATTTCGCGGTATACCGTATATGATAATGGGGTTGAATTTTGGCCATATATATTTGTAATATTATTCAGACTATATATGCGTCCCTTTCCGCTTGTTCAGACGCGTTGTGGGCGTTTATGAAACGTCATTACCCCACGTCCCCTCAAATTTGCCGCTCGAAGCGTATGTGGTCTAGTATGTTCGATACCACTTACTAACGTTGCTGCGGACCCATCATAACAGCCTCTTAGATTCCACTTCCTCACGTCTCATAAGCTCCTTAGCTCATTAACATTTCTATTTCGCCGACATCATCGGTGCGTATCCAAGCTCATCTTTAGGATCCAGGATTATGGAGAACACGCCCATTCGCTTCTCAGAGTGACTAGTGGTACAACTCAAAGTTCTCAGCTTCATATGCTTTTGGCTCATGATCATTCTGCCAACCAAATTTCAGACCTGACGATTATTAATTGACCTGGTTCCGGTCAGAAGCGGATTCGTCCACGCGTTTTGATGCTGAGATCGTTACCATCCTACTGCGAAAGTCCTCCTTAAGTCATGCTGTTTCATTCTAAAGATACACCTGCGGGAGAGTGACTGATATTCATCTGTTATACGCACTGCCGGTGGCATGGTCGTATTCAAGGTGCCCCATTCGGTTTCTCGATAGCCGCTGGTATTCGCCAGAGTTGTAAACTAAGCGGAAGGTGATATTGGCATCTAAGCCGCAGTCTGGATGCATAATCACAGTTGTATAACTCGAAGATAACCGCGAAGAGTCAATCCCGCTGCAAATGGCATCATCATTCCCCATAGAAAACTAGGACGGCTTCGCAATAACATTTTACATACGGCGTTGAATTCCGGTCTGGAACAAGTCGTTATACTTCGCGAAGACCGGTTGCGACATGTCGTCGTCGTCAAATGAACGGGGAAAGACATGACGTGCTCTCCAAATGGTAGCGAAGACGACGGGGACCTAGGATGGTCGGAAAGGGTCATCTGTGAGACATTTCGTGGGCTAGAGCTCTTCGTAAGTGCACGAAGTCTAATTGGCGTTTGAGTCCACCATCGTGTAGTACTTCCTTACGCAAGAGATGCACTTGGTACGATGCCACCGATGGAAGAACAGGAATGTGGGACCCAAGGAAAAGTAAAGTAGGTCTAGACAGAGCTGTCACCTCAAGAACTGAGCCGTCAGAGTTAAACGAGAGGAGGGTTTGGAGCCAATCACGCTAAAGCGGTAGCCCGGAGTACTGTCACGAGTTGCTGCCAAGTTGCTGCCCTGTCAACAGAACATCCTTGGCCGCGAGAGCGGCAGTACTGTATAGAGTGGCTTACGCAGCCACCGATGCTCCCCGGTGAGAGACTACTGGCAGGAGCTTTGCAGAAAGCGATGATGGTGAGAAGGAAAGATTCAAATTGTGCCGTGGCAGCGCCCCATCGGCAACTCCGATCAACTGATCGTAGATGCGGACGCGGGCCGAAGACCGGTATCATTTGAAAAAGAACCGCGGAATCAGTTTTCGGCTTTGTTCCCAACTCCTGACGAAGAGATGCACTGGTGATGTTCCTTGTTCCCAGAAACGTGTATAGACTGCATCTACGCACTAACGACCTATCATTTCTTGTACCTCTACAATCTCTCACGGTAATCTCGATTCGATTTGCACTCCAGGAAGTCTGCCCCCGTTGCATCTCCATCTGGATAAATATTCCACTTACTATTCCCGTATTCTGTCACGGTACCGAAAATGGCGCCGGGTCCTTTGAAGCTACAAGCGGAGACGCAGACGAGCATGTCAGTCTATAAAGGGGGTACTTGAAAGTTGAAACCCCAATGGCACACTAACAAGAGATTAGTCACTAAAAGACCGCGACAAAGGCACATGAACGATGTAATATTATTCGGAAAGAAGTAAAGAAGGGAGATGGCACGTGTAGTAATGTACCTCGACAAAAAATAGGCCTCGGAAGTTGATGCAAGGTGGTCACTATGGCACAATAATAGCTTGATCAGACAAAATTATGAGGGTCATGATGTGCGTGCGGTTATGCGTGCGTTTAGATTAGATTATGGCAATGCGGCGGTGCGGCCTGCCTATTGAGAAAGACGAAAGCCTGAGTCAAGGGACCCCGTGTTCTCTTCGTGTTTCTTCGATACCCAGGTAAATAACTCGTTTTCTCGGGAAGTTTGTTTCTTTTGGAGAACCTTCTCGGATAGTTTGAATGCGCGTCCAGACTCCAATTTCAGATACATTCCATACATTGCGTTGAGCCGAAATCTCTATATTTACTACTTGGTCTTCAATCGCGGAATGGAATGTAACGCATGGGGTAACTTGAATTATTTCTTGGAGTTTTCTACCATTTCAAACTGAGCTTAACGTACCGTGAGCTTGGTACTCTTGCTCCTCCAACATTAATCAAACTCCTAAGAATGACGAGGCACCCGGTTTCCAGATGCCGCTCCAGTAACGCTGCTCCAACCCCCTCGTTTTCAACGTATGCGGGTGTATCCCCACGTATAAAAGAACCAGTTCCTCCAAGCTTTCGACTCAGACACCAGTTGCACAAGTACCATGTCTTATCAACCCGCTACCCAATACGCTACTGCCGAGAACACCGCCTTCGCTGGTGAAAACCAGATCGGGCAAGCCACCAACCAAAACCTCGGGCGCGGTGGTGTTGGCAAGCAAAAGGAAGCTCTCAAGCTCAGGTTGGACCTCAACCTCGAAGTCGAGATCGCCATCCAGGCCAAGGTCAACGGCGACATCACCCTTTCCCTCTTGTAAGTGCAATTTCTCTGTTCATTTTGCGTTTGAATTTAAGTCTGACTTCGCGTTCAGGGAGTAAGTCTTCCAAAGGCCAATTGTTTGAATTGAGCGCACCAATCGGGCTACAGGTCGGTTTCGCGTCGTTTTCTGTTCGTATTTGGCGTCGAAACTTACCAACGCTGTAGAACTGTTGTCAAGAATCTCTGCCAGTCGGACTTGTTCACGTCTTTACCTCGATACAATTTTACCATCCATTCAAATCTTTACTTCTTCCCTTCGCCAAATTACTTCCTATGCTTTCACTACCTTCTTTCTAGCTTCTATTTTTGTAAAATTCTTCGTCAATTCATATCAATTATCGAGTCGTACGACCTTTATGTTGAATATCAGTGTTGCTCCATGTTCAAATATTCAAGCATATTCACCTTAATATCTGAATAACGTGTGAACTGGTTCGAAGGCCGCACATGGGAAGCCATTTTGATACGATCAAAGAACCAGAGAGACCCAGTCGACCAGAGTAGAGCAATCCTCCAAAAAGCGCTAGCAAAGAGCAGTAGTTATAGGCATGAAAGGCAAGGAGAAGCTCGTCTCAAAGTAATGAATGACCGTACACGACTCCACTCAAGGATGTTACAAGGAAGTTCAAGAACTGAGTGAAATGAACGCGACAAATGCTCTAGTTAAACTGTCCTTTCGCTCTTGTCAACTGGGGGTGTGACATCCTGAGATAAATGCGGGGAAAGCGCCAAGTCTCGAGGAAGGAAGGCCAGGCAACTGAATTCATCGTAACTGAAGGCCATCGTGGCAAAGAGCATAGTCAAGAGTACCGGCCCGAGTTCCGATTCGATCCGACCTTCCATAAACAGCTCAAGATTTTTGATCGCACAGTACGCCTACGCGACGGCAACAACTGCTCCGCGACGGGTTTCGTGGATGAGGTCACAGCTCTTCTCTCATGGACCTTTGGATTAACGATAAGCCGTCAACGTG